ATAGACTAATCTAACAACACTACTGAACTTGCTGCTCAAAAGGGAATTGAAATAAAATAAATTGTCCAAACTAGAAAGGGAACAAATTAAATCAAAAATATCGGCTTCATCAGCCACCGGAAAAGAAGAATTGGTTTGACCAACAACCAACTTAACAAAGGAAACTCAGTTGTATAGAAGTTTTCTGAATCATCGGTTTGACCAACCACCGAAAAATGAGATCCAATTGAGCATTTTCTTCTTCCCATAGTGAGGCGGTGGTTCAGGTGTATGACGAATAATTGAAGCCTCATAATGTAAATGTTGGAAAAGCTTTGCCAACCAAGCACAACGAAAATTCCTCATATCGATTACACTGATGAGGAGCACACAACATCTACACATTATTAGGAGAATAACACATCACACGCTCACTTGAAGCAGGCAAAAGTCCTGCCCAATGAGGAAGCCGGACAAAACCCCTCGAAAGTAAAAATTTAAAAAGAGCAAAAGTATTGAAAAATCTTTGATTTGATCTTTTACCGAGAATGTCGATCACAATCTTCCAAGACTCTTACTGATTGAAGAAGAAAGAGCTAAAACTCTGAAAGATCAGATTTTGGAGAAGGTCGGAGATGACTCACAACGTACCTAGTTATCTCCGACCTTCTCCAAATTTTTTGGAAGAGCTAAAATTTAATAGTATTGATATAATATTGTAGAGAGCTAAAACTCTTACTAGTAGATATTCATGTGTCCATCAAGTTTGAACATTCCCCCCCCCCCCCCCAAATTTAATAGTATTGATATAATATTGTACCATGCTTACCTGCACCACATCTTGGTGCAATCCCTCACATCCATCCATCGCTTAGTATATTTGTGTGTCCATCAAGCTTGAACATTTTTTCCCAAATTTAATAATATTGATATAACTAGTGTATGTACCCGTGCATCGCACGGTAATTTTATTTGTTTGTATGTGTGGTAGAAATAGGTGAAAAGGGATGGATGTGAAGATTAGATATATGAGCGAGTATGTTTGAGAATACTAAATTTGACTGGATCGGTTGAAACGATTATATGAGTTGAATATGCTGAATTGTGAAAAGTTAATTTTTAAATGTACTTTATTGTTAAAATATTTCACTCTATTAAAAAAACTCCAACCTTATTTATTGGGTTTTAAGGATTCTATCAATCTAAAACCTAAAAGATAGATGAACTATCATTCCACGACCTGAAAGATGGAATGTGTCAATAGAAGGCGCAAATGATTGAAAACTATCAATAAAGTAACAACAACATTACCACAATGCCAAAAAAGTCTCTTTACGGTGGGGGTAAAGGGGGGTCAGATCTACGCAGCCTACCCCTTTATTAAGGCATAGAAAAATTGTTTCCTAATGACCAATGATGAATTTTGCATAAAAAATTTCATGAATTGATGTGATTGTTACTAATATTTAATGTGAGATGTATGTGTATTTACAATGTCTTTTGATATTCATGAAGTAATTGATATATCAACTCTATAGTCTCCGCGGACACATGCTAAAGATATCTAACAAATTTCAATTGCTCATAGACTTTCCACATGTCAAGCTTCCTTGCAAAGAATTTTGCCACATGTCATCATTTTCCATAGGGTTGTGCTAAGAGTTTGCTTTATTATATAGATATAGGACCATGCTTAGCTTAAAGGATGTGATATCAAACACTTTAAACCCTAAAGTTGGATTGTACCAAATCGTTAGGAAACCCATTTTATGGTACATGTCTTGGTAATTACTGGACCGCCTTGGACCACACACATCCCTAACGCAAAACACCAAAATTTCAGAATATGAGTGCAAATAGGCACTTTTGTTCTTAGAATGTTCCTAAATTGGCTGGAATCTTTTGATCTGGTATGATGTGCTCTGTTCTGTTCCGTTTAAGTCAGGCCTGAATTGACACGAAAGATGTGTTTTGTGTATATTACATTAGTTCAAATGGATATCGTCAACTTTGAATTAGGTAAGATAATAAATGAAGAGAAAGGATAAATGAACAAAACCACACATTAGTTACTTGATTTTCAAAAAATTGTAATTTTTTGGAATACACGAACAAGAAAATTGGTGAATTCAATAAGACGAACGAAATATTTTATCATGGAAAATTTCTGTTTAGGAGTGAAAGCGTTTTAGAATTCCCAAATAGGATTATCATGTTTTGCCTCTTAAATAAGTGAGAGTAAAAACTGCCAATATTTGAAAATATTGTCATGTTTTAAGTTTAGTTAGTGATAATGACAAATTATGAGATTAATTACTATCATTTAGAGAATAAAAACATTACATTTCTATTTTGGAATTCACAGAAGTTAGAACTTCCGTTTCTTAACATTTTCCCTTTTTTGACTTTTCAAATCAATGTTTAGTAATCTCTGGCAAATGATCTTGATTGGTATAATTTACAAAAGTTGCAATTTTTATACGTTGGTGAAAGTATTTTGACAAAGAACACCTTCGTGTAATTTTTATTATAAAAATCATTTCCTGTAAAAATATATCATTGGACAAAGTTTAACTGAGTTGACCAACAGAAGCAAAGATGACAAAATTTTAACCGACGGAAGGAGTGATTTTTCACTCTTATTTAGGACAATTTCTTATTTTGCTATTATATAAGGGCCCGTTCTGTAACATTAAAATTGATCGAATCAGCTAAATATGCTGATATTTATGTAATTCTTGTTGAACTGGTTGGATGAATGAAACTATTTATTATGGTGAAATTGTATTGAAAATATATTTTGTCAATAAAGTTAACAAAATATACATGAAAACAATTAAAGTTGTCCTCTGCTGTAACTGTAATCAATTCATCCAAAAATAGTAACTTTAACCTTACATGTTTTAATTAGAAACTTTATAAATTCAAAACTTGAAAGATAAACGAAATATCAATCTAAGTTCTGAAAGATGAATTTGGCATCACTTAGGCGGATCGAATGGGGAGGATCGCTGCAGATTTGTTGCTATCTTGTGGAGTTTATGGAAGAGGAGGAATGACTGTGTCTAGAAGGATAGATGGCAAGGAGCCGCGGGAGTTATAAATGCGGCGGCGGGAATTATTTCGAGCTGAAGAGATGCGCAAGGTACTGGAGGAGCAGCGCAGGTAAGGAACGATACTAGGGCGATGACTATTTGGAAGCGCCCGCAGGCTGGTTATATCAAGATAAATGTGGATGGGGCGGTGGATGAGGACAGGAATATTCGGGCCTGGGGGTGGGTTGCACGTGATCACCATGGGAATTTTCTAAAGGCAAAGGGGCCCTGAGAACTAGCTAGTTGGTCGGTTATGGAGACAAAGGCAGTGGGCGTTCGTGAGGTTGTGGAGGGGGCAGCCGAGGTAGGATGATCACATGTGGAGATTGAGACTGATGCTCTCTCAGTGGTCCATGGGCTCAAAAATGGGGGAGGGTCTGCTTATCTTTACCTCCTCATCGAGGACATTAGAAATTTATTGAAAGATAAGAGGTAATCTTACTATCTCTTTTTGTAAGCGATCTGCGAATCGTGTTGCTCATGCGTTAGCAAGAGCACATGTCTCTATCCCAGATCAGTCATGTTGTTATGATGTTATTCCAGACACTATTGTAAGTCTTCTGGCACATGATTTAGTGAATTAACATACCTGTCAGTTGGAGATAAAAAAAAGTTCTGAAAGATGAAATGTATCGATATAGGGTTCAACAAATTAGGGGTGGGCACGGTCCAGTCCAATATTTGGCCGAACCCGTACCCGTACCGTTACTATTGAAACGGTTCGGTACGGTTCGGTCTTAGACCCAAACCCGTTCGGTACGGTCCATTTTCAAACGAAACGGTACCATGCCATACCAATACCAAACAATGCCACTTTTTCCAGGTGTTTAAGAAAAAATTAAAGTTTAGCCATCCTCCAAAAATCCACACAATTTATCAATTTTCATATTTCATACTACCTTCGTTCAAATTGATTTGCAAAGTCAATCTTTTTTTGTCAAACAATTTCTTTTTATTCACTTAATTAGAATTTCACTTTTTAATTATATTCTAATTTGGCCTTTAAAAAAAAACTACTCTGTACTTCGTATATTCTAATTTGTATTTTGCAACTTTAGAGATATTTTAATGTGGTTTCTAAATATGTAAATTTTTTAATTATTAAAAATTGTATTAATTATCAAGAACTTAACATTAACTTTGACAAAAAAATGTTGGCTTTGCAAATCAATTTGGGACGGATGAGGTAATTAATATATTTTAGATAAACTATAGTAGTACAAATTTAATAAACCATACTTCGGTCCGGTTCGGTCCGGTACCGGTTCTCATTTTATGAGAACCGGTCATGGCATTGTTTGGAACCGGTTCGGTCCGGCTCGGGACAAAAAATTCTGAGATCCGTTTCAAACCCTGTTTATCGGTCCGGTACCATACCGGTCCGGTTCGGTACCATGCCGGTTCGGTATTTTTGCCCACCCCTACAACAAATGATAGATAAATCAAAACCTATGAAATGTCAAGTCCTAGATTAATAAATTTTCATCATTCGGGTCCTATACCGATATATTTAATCTTTCGGGTCCGGATTTATAATTCATCTATGTTTCAGATTCCGAATTGGTAAAATTTATTTTAATTATTATACATAATAATAAATCATATATTTAATAAAATAATTAGCTGATAAGTAACAATAATAAACATTTTTATCAATCAAAATAAGATGGTGACAAAGTGTACAAAGGGTGTTTTTACTTGGACTGTAATTTGCTTGTCTGATCTGTTTAAATCTGATCTGGTCTGACCTGGTTTGAACTGGTCTGGTCTGGTCTGGTCTAGTAACGTCCGGTCTCTGTGTACTACGTATTTTGCAACTACGAAAGTCAAGTCTGGTCTGGTCTAGCATGTTTAAATCTGATCTGATCCAAAAGTATACAAACTACTTGAAACTTAAATTATCAAAAATTATCTGTGGAGTGGCGCTTAAAAGTCTCCACCCGTGGAAGACCCTCCTCTAGCCAGTAGCCATTTCATACTCCAAGATTTCCCGCTCGGCCGCTCCGTGCATGGCTTCATCCTCCATTTCTCTGCAAAATTTCGACGACGACGATGTAAACCCTATTCCTATTAAACGCTGTTTTTTTTGGCTACTCACAACTCCGTAATTTCTATCTCCAAAGCCTTTTTTTTATTCATTTTCAGGGGTTTGACTGGGAAGCTGCTGTGAGGGAGATCGACGTGGCTTGTGAGGCCACAGCGGCTGCTGTCTCCGTCAACGAGACTTTGTCTTCTTCTTCCCATGGCGTTTCGACATCCGCCCCAATCAAGAAAACGCTTACAAAACCCAATGGTGGCGCTCCTGCTTCTGCCAGGCAGTCGACGCTGGATAAATTTCTGGAATTTTCCCCTAAGGCTAAGAATGCGGAGCCCAGTCCCCACTGTTCCAACCCTTTTGGAATTCTAAATGAGAAAGATTTTGATAATGAGGGTGATGAAAGGGTTTGCTTTGTTCCACTCGATTTAGAGGCCGCCAAGACTTGGATTTATCCAGGTTCTTTGCTTTTTATATGTTTTTCTTACAATGTGTAGTATAAATTATCATCTATTAATTTTTGAAAATCAAGGTGTAACTAAAATTGAGGTTTATTAGGTAGGGTAATTTTTTTTTCTTCAAGGGAATTTGTTCATGCTTGTTTGTATTCCACAGCTGTTTTTCTTCCACAAAATACTGTTGTTGTCCAGTACAAGAAATTAGCACTAAGTGATATACTATGCTAAGTTTAGTGCTTCTCATCAAGCTTGAAATTTGGTTTTAGTATGGAGTCCTATTTCTCAATTTCAGTCATTATGAGCATATTCTATTAATCTTCATTTCTAGGCCCAGTTTAATACTTTAATATCTAAGGCTGCCATTTATGAGGTGGTGTTGGATGCTTGTGATGGTATGATGGAGTCGGACAAGGCCCATAATGAGGCTTACAACCTCGAATTTGGCCAATAAGATCATTACCAGGCCCAAGCAGGGGTGGTTAATTAGTTGTAATTGACCCGAAAAGATGGTCACTGTGTGTGCTCTGCAGTTTGCAGTGTTCCATATCACCGTGACGGGATGGCCATGCTGTATCAGTAGTTGGTAGTATGTTCCCATTGGCTCAAACATTTTAACACTCTTCGTTCTAAAAACAATGCACACATTTTATTCCCATCATTACTCTCTTTTCCGCTTCTTCCTTATTTCAACCAATACCTGGATTTGCGCCTTTCAGAGAACAAAGTGATGTTTCACTGAAGAGTTTGTTGTTAATTTATATGCTTTGGGTGATATATTACATATGAAGTTGTTGCCAATCATTTGTTTAATGACGGAATCACTTCTTATGCTTATAGAAGACCACTCTTTTCATTGTTCAATTTTATTGCAGCAAACCTTCCCCGTCGGGATTATCAATTCGAAATTACGAGGACCGCACTATTTTCCAATACCTTGGTGGCACTACCTACTGGACTCGGAAAAACATTCATTGCTGCTGTTGTAATGTACAATTATTTCAGGTGGTTTCCAGAAGGTACTGCATTACTATTTCCCAACTAGCGTCAGAGTGTGTGTGTTTGAGCGTCTCTAACCTACTATGCGGCAGTGCAACTTTTATGAATTAATGGATGAATTAATGGACTAGTGCTTTACTATTTCCCCCAAAGCTAAATCACTACATTGAGAGTCTTGAAATGGATGAATTAATGGACTGGTTGCAAATTTTTTATTATAAATCTAATAGAGAATTATTCAATGATCATAGATAATGGCCCTCTATTAACTCTCAACTACTCAAGTCTTAACTCATCACTTTGTCTATTAAGGAAACTGCTTAAACTTGCCAATAACATATTTACTTCTTTTTATGCTACAACATGGCAGGAAAAATTGTTTTTGCAGCTCCGTCTAAGCCACTTGTTATGCAACAAATTGAAGCATGCCATAACATTGTAGATATACCGCAGGTTAGGTTCTCTAGCTTTCCAGCACTTTTTGTGTGATTGTTTACTTGTATCGCTAATTCGTCATTTATAGAGAGAACAGTCTACATGCATTTACCAAATCCGAGACAGTTATTGTTGAATGGAGTGCAGGAGTATGCTATTGATCTTACAGGTCAAACCAGTCCCACTAGAAGAAAAAGCTTTTGGAAAGAAAAACGAGTTTTCTTTGTTACTCCGCAAGTGCTGGAGAGGGACATCCTTTCTGGTTTGTTTTACTTCACTGGTTTTGTGTCTAAAATTTGATTCATGATATTGAACACTCAGAATAAATAAAAAGAATAAATAAATAAATAAATAAATAAATGAAAAGAATAAATGTGTCAGCTTTGCAGATATATGCTTAAGTTTAAACTATTTGTGGAACATAAAGTTTGAATGACAATTTTTTTTTCTAAAAGTAATATCCTGTTTTCTTTATGTTATCCTCTTTAAGATGTTACAAGTTAAGGAAATGACAGGAGAACCTTTTTAATGGAAAGCAAGTCATTTAGTCAAGATACAAAAACCCAATGCGTATATATGACTATATGTGAACTACGGAACTGCTCTAATATACTTTCTGTCTAGCATCTAGACAATGATGTTGCTATTTTTAACAAGGGGAATGGGAAAGGCATACCGGGTTTCTATTGCCAGATGCACATAATATGGGTGTAGCTTGCATTTCTACTTTTTCTAGGACTTTATAGGGACATTAGACAGGGTGGCCGAAGGGAAAAAACAAACTTTAAATGCTTAAGGTAGAAGTATAGAACTTTGTTTATTGCACCGTAACTACCGTTTGATTGGAACATGATATGTACCTTGATGCTTATAAACTTCACCTGCTCTTTTTTAATTTGCAATGCTGTAAACTTTTGTTCTTCACAACATGTATTGTGATTAAACTCATCTTTATCTTCCGAGTAGATTTTTTTCATTTTTCTGACTAATGAATTTTTCAGGTATATGCATGGTGAAACATCTAGTTTGCTTGGTGATTGATGAGGCTCATCGTGCTACTGGGAATTACTCTTATTGTGTAGTGGTTCGTGAGGTTTGTCTTGATTTTCTCTTCTGTGACTCTCTCTCTCTCTCTCTCTCTCTCTCTCTCACACACACACACACACACACACACACAACACATATATAGAGGGACGGATGGAGCGTGGAGGTGCACATTCTCCTGCATTAATTGTAAAAAGAATATAAAGGATTAAATTTTCGTACCTACATTTTTATGGACTTTGATATTATTTGCTAGTTGTTGAGTGAAGATTTGGTTTTCATGTACCACTGTTACAGAGGAATCTGAACAAACACACAAACATATGTATAAATTTCCTGGCATCTTTCTAGCATAGGGTCTTCATTGAAAATGTATTTTGATCTTCTTTAGTTTGACAGATAAATCTGTTTTTGTTTTTAATGATGTTTTAGTTGATGGCTGTTCCTGTACAACTCAGAATTCTGGCTTTAAGTGCAACACCAGGATGTAAGTATCTTATCACTTCAAGAGGTTCTCCATGTTGGAACATTTTTTTTCTCTCTTTTTACCTTACCTTCTCTGATAATCTCTAATATTCAGCTAAACAGCAGGATGTCCAGCATATTATTGATAATTTACAAATAAGTACACTAGAATATCGTGATGAAAATGACCGAGATGTGCTCCCTCATGTGCATGACCGGAAGATAGAACATGTAAAGGTACATAATTTTTTTGGTTTTTATATATATATATATATATATATATATATTTTACTTTTTGTGTTTGTAGTCCTATATTCTCTACTCTGAGTATCAGAACATAAAGGCAATGTTTTCCTGTCACATGATTCTAGGTTGCCATGGGACAAGATGCTGATGAAATCAATAATCTGCTGTCAGATGTAATAAGGCCATTTGCTGGACGGCTTTCTGCGTTTGGATTACTTCAGAATAGAGATTTTCAGAGAGTATGTGTCTTATTATCCCAACTATTAAAGTTTGATATAAAAAGAAAGCTGTACACAGCGTTTGGTTGGAAAAGAGAAAAGAGAATGTGATCCTCTGCCCTCTTATGTATGTACTCTACACACACACGCGTGTGTCTATACACATGCACACATGTGTGTGTGTGTTTATGACTATGGGTAGAAAAATGGGAGGGAATGGAAAATATTTCAAAAATCCCCTCCAACTCACCTCCCTCAAAAACTGTGGGATTTGGATAAGGGAAATGTTTCTATTCTAAATGGACCAGAATACACTTATTCATTAATCTGCAGGACTGCTGCCCTTTCCATATTTCCTATTATGATGCACCAAGCCCCCTTGTATTGTAAAAGTTGTCCAAGGCAGAGATGGACCTAGACAGTTTTGTAAATTGGTGGTTATTAGGCAGTAGGCGGCCAACTGGGATAAGTTAGGCGTAGGGGTTAGTTTAGGCGATACACAAAAGTAAAGTCTTAACATATGCATCTCTCAGTCTCTGCTACACTAATTGTCATTAAATTTTTCTTTTTTATCCAGCCGTCTGAATTTCTCATTCATATAGTAAAGTCCGTCTTAGAGCACTCTACAAAATTTGCCTGTTGGTGTTAGGACTTAGGGGTACATTACGATCACATAGTATTCCTGATGCTCCTTTCCATTTAGCCTTCCAGCACTTATTCTAGATGCCACATGACTGATGACTCACATATCCAAAATGTTAATTTTTCTTTATAATAAGATTTCATGTAGTTGACACATTGGCTTACTTATAACTCTTCCCCTTCAAATTTTACCTACTTCGTTTCCCAATTTGTAAGGGTTATGATTATTTTGCCTTATTTTTAATGACTTAATGATTATACTGAAATATGGGAGCATCTAATTTGTAGTTAAAAACATATAAATGTATACACACATAGACACACATATGTATGCATATGCATATATTTATATTTTTGTACGTTTATGCATGTAAAATTTGCACTTACATGTCTGTCCTTCCTGCTATCTTCTTTTGGTCTGACTTTCTTTACTTCCCTATTTGTGCTTATGATGAATTTGGAGTGTTTTGTTTGTCTAGCATTGACTTTGAAATAGATTGTATTTTATGTACAAATCATTATTTTTCTTTTATGATGGACAGTTCAACCCATGTGACATACTTGATGCACGGGCCAGATTTCGTAGAGATCCACCAAAGGACATTCCTCAAGTAAAGTATGGAGATGTGGAAGGATACTTTGGAGTCCTTTTGACACTTTATCATGTTCGGAAGCTACTCTCGAGCCATGGAATAAGGCCTGCATTTGAGATGCTTGATGAAAAGCTGCGACAGGGGTTTGTCTTCCACTATTTATGTTTCAGAACTATTCAGCTATTCTAGTCAAGAGTCAAGACTGTCAAGGTTATGTCAATTTTAACCTGCTCTCTGTCATACAAAATATATTCAACTAGTAAACAAATGTCTGAAGTACCTATGTTGCAAATAATTAAACCTGTATTGCCTAGCTAATTGGTCACATGGATATTCAAATTTCTCTGGTTTATTGCCAGCTAGTTGCTCTGGTTTTGTGTAAGAATGAAGAGTGTTAAAGTTGTATTTCAATATCCTTCTTCTCATAGAATATATGTGTTGTAAAAGTTTCTTTTCAGCTCGCTGAACCTATAGCTTTTATTTTCAGGCAGTTTGCTCGACTAGTGAGTAGAAACGAAGATCTTTTGAAAGCAAAACTTCTAATGCAGAAAACTGTAGATCACGGAGCTTCTAATCCAAAACTGTCAAAAATGCTGGAAATACTAATTGATCATTTCAGTATGCATCTTGGGCATTGATTCCTGTTTATTAATAATTCATTTCTCTTAATTTTTGTTGACTACTTATTGTGCATTGCTTTATATTATTATGTACTAATATATTTATACACTATTCTTTCTAGGCTGTTAAAATTCACTGAGAATTTTGGTCTAACACGAATTGCAGTGTTAATACTAAATTACTAATAAAACCATAAATCATAAAAGTAATAAAAAAACTAACACAATAGTTTCTTTTGCATCTCTGGAAATAACAAAGTATTACGTCAGGCACTTTATGCATTATGCTTTAAAGTGTCTGAAATGTATTTATGTATGAGTGCGCTGCACACCCACAATGGAGGGTTCTAGTGAAAACTCATTTTAAAATGAGAACTCCTTGATGAGATTTTTTTGTTTCAACCTTCCATTTTCTTTTATGGTTAGCACACACATGATGTTTTTTGTAATTATTCCAAAATCAAATGGGGTCTTTTTTATTTATTGTAATATATTCACAAAAATGACTCCTTGTTAATTTCAGCCATTGATAAGAAATTTGAAGGTGTAGATTAAAAGTTCTCATTTATAAATATGTTCTCATGTTAAAACGGGTTCTCACCAGAACCCCCCTATATATGAGGGGAGAGTGTTCTACTCCTGTATCAACTTTGGTGAGGCGAGTTCTTTGGGATCAAGACATGGTTTTATTTATTGCATAACTTTCCTTCATTTCTACCCAACATTTATCAGACATTGCTTTAAATGTTTGGACTTGGTTTTGTCATTTTTACTGTTGCTTTGAATGAAGATATTGAGCAAATAAGGAGTAGCTGACCTGCATATATGCTCATGCAGAAATGAATGATCCCCAAAATTCAAGGGTTATCATTTTTTCAAATTTCAGAGGAAGCGTAAGGTAAAAGGGATCCCCCTCTTGCAGTTTGTACTTTATGTGCTGGTCTTATTTTACAATGCAAAAACTTACGCCTTTCATGGTCTGAATTGTCTTAATCTGCTTTAGGGACATTATGGACGCAATTACAAACATTGGACCATCCATAAAAGCAACTGAATTCGTAGGGCAAAACTCAGGTGTTTTTTTTGTAGTTGTACTCGATTTTAAGTAAACTTTTAGTTTGTTTTAGTGATTTGTGAGAACTCTAATGTGTGTATGCTATATATTTATTTAACCACAATGTTTGTCTCAAATAGATCTATTAAGTTATTTCAGAAGGTAGACATCCATTATTTTATAGTTATCATTAACAGTTAACACATCGCTTCCCGTGTTTGCAATAATTTTTTGGGTGAGCCATTCACGTTGGAATATTTTGATTATATGTAATTTGTGTGGTGAATTGAAAGTGTACTCATTATTAAAGGAACTGAGGTCTGCCTAATAAAATTTACTCGATCGTTTCACAGGAAAAACATTAAAGGGCCAGTCACAAAAAGTTCAACAGGCTGTTCTTGAGGTGATTGATTTTCCTGCTCCATTTCTTATCTCATCTTACAGTGTCATCTTTAGGAATCATCTCACTGATATTAATTGACTGTTGCAAGCAGAAATTTCGAGCTGGTGGGTATAATGTCATTGTTGCAACATCAATTGGAGAAGAAGGCCTAGATATAATGGAAGTTGATCTAGTTATTTGTTTTGATTCTAATCTCTCTCCATTGAGAATGACTCAGCGGATGGGGCGGACAGGGAGAAAACATGAAGGACGAGTTGATATCCTTTGGTCCTCTAGCCTAGCATAATACAAACTTTCCCATGTGCTTATAGAAATGTAGGTGTATACTGTATATTACCTAAATTTCCTTGACTGTTCCTACTGGTTTTAGCTTGTGAAGGGCCAGAACTCAAAGGATTTCTGCGAAAACAAGCAACAAACAAGGTGTTAGGAAAACTTATGGCGAATGGGGGAACAAATACATTTAGGTTTCATCCCAGCCCTAGGATGGTATACCTCTGTCTATTAAGTTTGTTGATTAGTTTCGTAAAAACATATTAATTTACAATTTCATCATTGGATATGTCAATTGTGTAAATCTTTTTTAGATTCCACATGCTCTCAGACCAGAAGTTCAACATGTTAAGCTTTTGATCGAAGCATTTGTTCCTCGTGGAAAGAAGTCAAAAGATGCCCTCCATGTTCAGAGTCCTGTACTGCAAAATGAACTCAGTGACAAAGAAATCAATTTGCTCGCAAAATATTTCAACAGCAATGGAGAGAGTTTGTGGAGGCCGTCATTAATTGCATTCCGTCATTTCCAGGCATTTCCGTCTAGGGTGCATAGCGTATCACATTCACTTAGAACGGAGATGCTAATAGATGCAATGCAGCATTTGGAAGGTTTATCATGTTCTGGTGGTATCAAAGCTTCAAGCCAGGTTTATTCTCGAACCTTGATAAAACTTTTGTGTAGAAGAATGTCATGATATAATTTCTTGGATTCAGGCTGAAACATCTAGAGATCTGTGTACGAGAGGTGGAACTGCAGAAGCATATGAAAATGGTGAAGCTGCGGAAACATATGAAGATTTTAAAGCTGCACAACTATATGAAAATGGCGAAGCTGCAGAACCATATGAAAATGGTGAAGGTAAAGCTAATATCAAACCCACCAGTTTTTCGTTCTCTATAAGTTCTTTAATCTTTACTACACATCATTAAGATGATGCGGTACAACTATTTTTGTGTGGGATCCTTGGAGTTTAATTTGAGATGGGTTGATAGGAAGGCCCAAAACATTACAATTGCAAAGCACTCAACTTTTTAAATCCATGAATTCATTTCTTTGAAGTGCTTCCTCGGTTCCTTCATCTCATAAAGAGTGTCATGAAAACTTTTGTGGGGTAATCCTAGTATTTAAGAACCTAACTTCCAAGACTTGCAAGCTTTATCATCATCAATACCTTCACCCGAAGTACACTGAAGTGGTTGAAATTCTAAGCCGACATCATCAATATCATGAGACTGTAATGAGCTTCCTCACAAGTGATCAGAGGGAGAATTGGAGAACTACATTTGCAGCCTTATCTCTTAGTTTATACGTTGTTTCATAAAGTTTTTTTGCCCCTTGTTTACTGGTGTCCATGATTGAAATACTATCATTTCTACTGGGATGTTTCACCAAACCAATTGAAGTTATCAAGGTTATCGCTAATTCCGTATAAGCAGAATGATCTGGGCAAATTACAATGTATTTAATCTTACACTTCTTAGCAAAATGATTTAATGAGGCTTGTTCCAGGATAGCGAGTAGGCACGTAACAATCAATTCGACCTTCAAAGCTCAAAATGAATAAATCAACATAAAATTATGCATGTCAGAGGCTTCAAATATGATCTGTTCTGCTCCGTACCATCAGTAGTTTATGTTTAATGACTGGTATATGGGAGGTGACTAGTACATCAGACCATGTCTTATGTTTTCTCTCCTTCTGGCATGTCCACACCACAAAAGGAAAAAAGAAAGGGAGACTTTGTACCGTTTTAGTCAACTGACTTAACTTTACTTGCATTTTCTTGTTTTAGATCCAAAGACGTTCAGCTGTTTGCCGATAGAGGATTGTGGGAGAGAATTATTAGAAAATGATAAGTCTCCTGTTCCCGTGAAAACAATAGCTGAAGCAATGAGTTCTGTGAATGAATTTACAGGGAGGACTTCCCATGCTCATCTGTCTCTATTCGAATCAGAGCTTGTGAAGGTTGATAATCTAGGAAATGTCCTAGTCTTATCGGTCCCACAACTTTCAACCAAAGCAGTTTCTGAGTCTAAACTCGTGGACACTGACGTCTTGCCATCAAAGCTGTCAACAGAAGATGCTTGTGACCACTTCATGAGTCCAGTTGATCTTATTCTGGAAAAGAACCAAGGATTCGAAGGAAAACATGCTGATCATGGAGAGAGAATGAAGGAGCATGTTCTGGTGGTATCCAGATTACGCAATGATGTGGATGAATGTCAAGGAGATGGTTCCCAATCAGAAAGAGTTCCTGAAAGTCCTTTTTCCCAGGTGGAATCAAAAGATATTAGCGTTGGGGAGCATCCTGAAGCAATAATAACAGATAGTACAGATGTGTCACTAAATGAAGAATTGAGCTATGACTCCGAAGATGTGGAGGCACATAGTCCACGGCTAACCAATTTTATCAAGAGTGGTGTTGTTCCAGAATCTCCCATGTGCAGTCCAGGTTAGCATGTCTCTTTTTAGTTAGCTTTGCCCGATACTGCCCATATGCTGAAAGTTAACTACGAGTTTTTTAACAGAGAGAGATAAGGATGAAGGAAATAAGCTGAGTTCTGAAAGCATAATGGGGCCCTTGAAACAGGATAAACAGGCTGTCCATTGTAGTACTGGTGGGGAAGAAAGTCTTCCTTCACACATTGTTAAAACTATAACTCCTTTACAAAAAGAGGTTGGAGCAAGAGCTCCCACGTCTTCCCATTCAATCATTATTTGTGGTAATCGAACTCCTTTGGCAAAGCTGTCAAGCCCAACCTGCAGCAAAGACTGGCTTTTGGAATCTCAACACTTGCCAGAAAGAGTTTGTGAAAAGAACAAACTTAGAAGGCTACGCAAGCTAGGTGATGTTTTTACAAAAACTTCTCCAGAGTGCGCAAGACAAAATAATGTGTCTCCCAAAAAACTGGCTAGCTCTTGTTTTACAGCCAACAGGGTTGTATCCAGGAGGAAACACAGAGGTAAGAGTAATTCAGCTGGTTTTGCATTTGTGATAACATTTAATTGATTTCTTCATACGCTCCTTCTCTTTCATATTTCTATTGCTTGTCTTAGATATCTTATATCTATCCAGACTCACAGTAATAATGAATTTCTAGAAGTTCTGCATTGTTATGAGGCATGAGCTGCTGTCAATATTTCAAAACCATTTCTGTTATGCTTTTTATTTTTTTCTGTCATCAGGTAACATGAAACAAGCAACAGATGCCAAGGCATTCATAGAAGTGGAAGCCGAGTAAGTGCATGAATATGCTGTTGACATATGCTGATCAATAATTAAGTATTGTGTGTGTGTGTGTGTATGAGGGCAGATCATATTAGGCCGGCCTGACGGGAACCGCCGTCAGGACGAGGCCATTTGGGGCCCTTTCCGATGGATTTTTTTGATGAATTTTTTTGAGCATGTTCAACATCAAGTCTAGTTTATCCATACCAAAGGTAAGCTAAAAATTCAATCGGGAAGGCAGTTAAATAAATTCTTTACAAAAACTGTGCTTTATATATATAAACAGCGCAGTTTTTTTTAACAATTTATTTGACTGCTTTCCCGGTTGAATTTTTAGCTGAAATTTGGCATGCATAAACCAGACTTGATGAAGAACATTATCAAAAAATTCCATCGGGAAGGGCCCCAAATGCCCTCGGCCGGACAGCGAGTCCTGTCAGGAAAGAAATAAATTTTGCTTTTAGTTAGACAACATTAAAACTTTCCATCATTTGCGATGGAGCCAAAGATTCATTATTTTTTGGCTTGATAATATGATGGAATAAAGCAAAATGGCTCACTAAACTGTCTGCTCTTCTTTGTTATGAAGCAGTAGTCAGTCCATGCAATTTTGGACGCGATTTTCACTACGGGTCATCCGGAAACAGTCTCTCTATGCTTTAGTACAGGGGTAAGATTGCGTACATCCGACCCCCCCTTACCGCACCGTAGGTGGGAGCCTTTGCGGCATTGGGGTAAATGAAAATGAAATGAGTTAGACAACATTGAAGACTACACTAGGTATAAATATTGTTCCAACTTCCTACAAAGGTCTTATTATCCCTTTGGATGGGTCTAAGTGGGGGATCGAGTAGGAAGAAAACAGAAGCAGCTAAGGACAACCTAGTGTCTGGGTGGGGATTTTTGCCTCGATATTGAAAATAAAGTCAAAAGTCGGGAGTGCAATCCTTCATTCTTTTCTATTTTAAGCTGCTGCTTTAATGATTGTTCTTATTCAGGGTTTCTTCAGATGGCTTGGTATCTGATGATGAGGAAGAGGAGTACTGTAACTCATATGATGATAGTTTCATTGATGACCGGTTAAGTCTTACTGCAGTAGACACGCAAGCTGACTCTTGTAGAATGGACATGATGGCAGTTTACAGGTTTTGTATATGTCTTCGTGCTTTCTGAATCTTGTGAAAGAATGTTTTTTTCATGTTCACATCCCCTTTGTAATTGCTTTAAGTTGCCAAGTCTCTTTTTAGTGCAGTTTTCCTGTAACTGAATTCACATTATCCTTCCACGATTTATTAACTTTGTTCTCTCATAGCAGGCGATCTTTACTGACTCAATCACCCGTGGAGCTGTTGCCGAAAGCTTCCAGTTTTCATAGTCCAGATAATGCTGTTCCAAGGAGTGTGACAAATTTAACTTCAAGCTCATCGGGAACAATGAATCACCGAACACCCCAAACAGGCTTAGAGTCTACAAGTCGAAGTTCAGAAGCCATGCCATATGGAACTGCTGCATGTTCGCTGGGAGAGAAAGAGAGCAACGTTGGGAGCCGAAAACGAAAATTTAGCTTTAGTGAAACTAGTCCACTACCTGCGCGGAATTTGGAGGGTGATTTCGGGATGCATCATGGAGCAGGAGGCAGAAACTCAGCCCTGCCGCCGGTGCAAGAGCACAGTGAAAAAGAAAATATGGATTTATTTGATGATGATGATTTTCTTAACGGTATTGATCTTGATGCGGTTGAACAAGAGGCTGCCAAAATACTTCAGCTTAAATCACAAAACTCAGTTCACAATCAACCCACTTCAATATCCATTCCTCAAAACATTGGCATTAGTGATTTTCCTTCCTTTGATCTTGGTTTTTAAATTTTGACTACAATTATCTTACCAGTAGAGCAGCAGTTTCTATACACCCCTCTTGTACATAACTTATTCTATAAGTCAACATGTAACATCAATTGTACAGAAATGAAAGTTTTGGATGTGTCTTTTATCGCCTACACTGCAGAAATAAGTGTTTTTTCCTCGCAAATAAAAAAGAAAAAGGAAATGAAAGTTTTTGCAAAAGAAACATATTACCTTGCATGTGTCTATCTCCTACAATGTGACGCTGTGAAGAACATTTCTTTAGTTTATGTTTGTTATAAGAGAAATTGAACCTAATATCTAATCAAAGATAAAGAATAACAACATTTTTTGGTATACACAATTTTACTGTATACACACTTATACACGTTTGTGAAAGTTTTTTTTGTGTATGAATGGTGTATTCTCAACCAAAAAAAATATTCATAGGCGTGTGTAAAGTGTGTAAATAGTAAAAATGTGTACAAAATGTTTTTTAAAGAATAATTTGCGATTCATGATTTACTTATAACCATTCCAATGATTTGAGATTTTTACCCTTACTAATTTTCTTGTAAATATTATTTCTAACTCTACTATAGCAAACCTTTAACACGGAGGGAGTAAAGATTAGTGAGATAAGGAAAACTCCAATAATTTAAAAAAAGTTTTAGGAAACATGGGAAAAGAAGGTTTGTCAAACAAAAGGAAAAACCAACTTAACCTGAAACAAAGAAAGTCATGATGTGAATTTGTTCGTCATTTGTTGCATGCATTAAATGAATAGTAGTCAAAAAGTGAATTTTGTCATTGAGTTGGTGAGTCATACCTACTAAATACTCCCTCAAAATTTTGTCTTACACAAATAATAGAGTATAGATTGTGTGATTGAGATTAGTGCAAATTAGAGCAAAATAATAAAAAGTACAAAATATTCAATTAAAAAGAATAATGACAAAAGATTTGGGGCTTCTAAAAAAAGAAAGATTGACAAAGTTATAAGAAGCAGATGAAGTATAACACACTAGGTTTTTACTTCTCATGTGAGTTCTTGGGAAAATAGACTGTCCACGCAAAATACTCTATATGTTTCCGTTTTCTTTTGGGAATTACAAAATATGGAGTATTACTTATTACTTGCTCTCTAAGTTTCTTTTCAGAGAATATTTTGTTATCTGCTCTATTTTTTGGTCATTTATGAGCGTTTGCGAGTAAGAGGACTTGGTAGTCTCTGGTATAGCCCACTGATGATTGTAGGACTAATTCTCAGACCAATTTGAGGTTAGTGCAATTGTATGTTTGGTAATTGTACTCAATTGAGTCAAGATATTCTTTGAAACACTTGCGTTTAATTCAATTGCTTTAAAGTTAGTAGCAATACCTCATTGATAAAATGACAATCTATTGTCCTGTATTTTCATTTTTTATGGTAGCGGCGATCAAAGGGGAGAAAGTTCCATGGAATAAACAAGATAGTTCTACGTTTATATGTTAACTGTGTTTATATGAAAATTGAATATTCACTCTGCAAATCCAGTGTTTCCCTGCAACTTAACAACCGTCAATATATTCAATTTACATAATTGTTGTACCATACGATAAATAAATCTCAACTTTCATGTTTCTACATACTTTTGTGATTATTAATTTTGAATAGTTATAATTTTTTTGAACCGACGAATAATTATAATTTAAAAAATTATACATCTCAATGAACAAAAAAATTTGGTAATTAGGCAATGTTGAGGCTTAGGCCTTTTCGCCTGAGGCATACCCAATTGCATTTTAAGAGTATAATCAGATAGATTGTGCCAGGGAAAGTTCCCGAAATAGGACAAACGGTTTGAAAATTCCAAAATAGAACTGTCATGTTTTTTATTCCCAAAATAGGAGTAATTACTGTCAACTTTGGAAAGTTCTGCCACGTTTGAAGTCTGGTACTGCCAAAACATGGCAGTAATTAGTCCTATTTTGGGAATAAAAACCATTGTTCTAAAACTCGCTAGGCGCTAGTCGGGCGGTAGAGGGGCGCCTAGCGCCTAGGCGGCCGACTAGGCCAATTTTTTGGCCGACTAGACCGACTAGGACTCTATGGTTAGGGCCGCCTAGGCCGATTAATCGGTCCGCCTAGGCCGATTTTTAGAACAATGATAAAAACATGACAGTCCCATTTTGGAATTTTCAAACTTTTTTAGTCCTATTTCGGGTAATATTCTCATTGTGCCACTTACAAATATAAGAGAAAATTATCACTAATAAGACTAAAAGAGAGACAATTTCCCAATGTATGACTTGATAGTTTTTTTTTCCTAAACTGATGCCTGAATGAGATGATCTATTTTACCGTTATTTTTATCATTATTATTATTCCTGCTCGTACCCTCAAACGGTCTTTGGGAAATAAAAAGATGAAAACTTTCTCTCAGCGTGTTTTTCGGCCATGCTTCTCATCACGTTCACGCCAGCATTAATCTCAAAGCCTAAATAGTAGGGATTATCAAATAAAAGTAACCGCGGCATTAATTTATACGAGTATATTTTTCCCGCACCTTCATTTCTTCATTCCCATCACTTCATCATCCCAGTACTCCATCTTATTCTGTCTTAATGCCCAAGCTACTCCTACAACAATTTAATGCCCTCATTTTCAAACTTTGTGGGCAATATTGCTACTCCATCATTTCAAAACATTTTAATGCCCTCATTTTTTTATTGCTACTCCCTAATGTTATTATTGCCCTTATATTGCTTATATACTGTTCTAATTATTTCCGAACATTGAACACACAATTATTGGGGACCCAATTATTGCCTTCTTCTTGAAGTTTCTTCCTCAGCAAACTTAATGCCCTCCCACACCCTTTTACGTGTTACAGAGTATAAGTTAGATTACTGCCCAAACATGTAATCTCCTACTTCCCATCCGCTTACATCATTCACAAAATTAATTGCCAAACTTACATTACTGCTCAATCATTTAATCTTCAATAATACATGTTCCACACTTGATTCCAGTAAGCATCTAATGACTGCTTAATGCCTTAATAATGCCCTAAAGTCATTTATCACTTACGCTTAGTGTTCGGATTCCTTCTGCAACTACAGATGCATGGAACACTAACCTATGCACGAACTAAAATCAATCAAATTTTACACTTAACACCCTGTTCACTGTAATTATGTTGTTCGCCGTCACTGAAATGTTGGCGTCCTTCATCTGTATTGCATCCATGGCTCTGCCATCCTCATTCTCCGTCATCGCTTTCGTCTTTCGGTTCAAGTATATTTTTGCAAGTCATCCGCCTCCTTTGATATACGTATGTAGAAGGAATCGGTTTCCTTCTTCTTCTCTACCGCAATAAATGTTCCGTCTCTAGTGCGCCTATAAAGTTGTTGTAGTTTCCTTTTCATATGAAAATTCCTTTTTTATTTAAACTTTACGGAGATGGGTAATGAGGTCTTTTTATTTCAAATTTAAGAGGTGGGTAGTCATGTACGGTTTATTGTGGTCATATTTTGGTATATCAGGTTTTTAAGTCATATAATGTGAAACTCCTTCTCTTCTAGTAATATTGTGATAAATTTCCCCAAATATAACCCATTTTTCTTTTAACTTCTCCACCACTTCTCTTCTTTAGCAATCACTTCCTTCTGTAAGTCTTCTACAACTTTTCATTCTCTTCTCTTCTGTAATTGTACTCAATTGAGTCGAGATATTCTTTGAAACACTTGCGTTTAATTCAATTGCTTTAAAGTTAGTAGCAATACCTCATTGATAAAATGACAATCTATTGTCCTATATTTTCATTTTTTATGGTAGCGGCGATCAAAGGGGAGAAAGTTCCATGGAATAAACAAGATAGTTCTACGTTTATATGTTAACGGTGTTTATATGAAAATTGAATATTCACTCTGCAAATCCAGTGTTTCCCTGCAACTTAACAACCGTCAATATATTCAATTTACATAATTGTTGTACCATACGATAAATAAATCTTAACTTTCATGTTTCTACATACTTTTATGATTATTAATTTTCGTGAATAGTTATATATTTTTTGAACCGACGAATAATTATAATTTAAAAAATTATACATCTCAATGAACAAAAAAAATTGGAATATATTTTTTCGCGATATTTCTTGACCAATTTAAAAAAAATCTGGAAAATGTAACAATTTTTTTTTTTGAAAAATGTAAAAAATAATTGTAAGCATTGAATCTTAATTTCATGTCTTGGATCTACCTAAAAAATAGAAGATCTCTTTTTTTATTAATTTAAATTCTAGGTATGCAAGTGTCCCAAAAATATGATCATTTTTAAATTAGACTCCACTAACATCTTTAATTTGATATGCTTTGTGAAATAGGAGTAGAAATAAAAGAGTTTTAGTAGTTCAAAAGAACATTTGCCCAAGCCCACGATAGATAGCAATATAGCATAATAGCACCCAAAGACCGAAAGGCGTTATTCTTGTCTCATTGAACATTTGAACCTATTCATAATAAATCTTAAATGAGGTGGATGGCTCAAATTTGACCCTTTCACTCCCAAGTCCCAATCAGTGCAAATGGTCTATTAAAAAGGGAATATAATCTTGTACTATGTGTGTGAGAATAAATATACATCTGTTTTATTTTTCGGAACAAATATACCTCTGAAATATATGTTGAAGTGCATATATACCCTTGAACTTTAAAAAATTGAAATAATACCCCTCATGATCTTATAAAGGAGCAAATTTACTCTTATTGACTTTAAATAAATAAAATAAATTTCAAAAAACATCAAAAATAAATTATAAATTCGAAATTTAAAAATGAGAATCTATTATTATGTTAAAATATTAACTCTTTAATTTTAAATTGCAAAATTATTATTTTTCTTTTGTAAATGAAGCACTTCAAATTCATAAATATTAATTTTAGTCTTGTTGTGAAATTCTGAACACATTGTTACATATAGTGAAATAACATTCTTTGATTTTGTTTACCTTTAATAAAATTAAATTCACTATTTTGTAATATTGAACTATTTATCATCATACAAAATATGTAATTTTATAGTGCAAAGAATGCAAAAAACAATATAGTAAAGTTTTGAAACAATACTTTATACTAACAATATTAAATTGTGATATAAAAACAATAA